CTCTCCATTAATAAAGTTTTCCTTTAATAATGATAAACTATTAATGACCAACATGTTCCTTTATTGAAACCATTACATATTGCATGTAAGAGATGTTGTTTCTTTTATGATATATACTTTTAAATATACAAATTAAATAAAAAAAAATGATGTTTATCTACCAGAAAAATATATATATACTATATATATATAATCTTAGATTTAATACTTATTTGTAATAAAAAATATTTGATTTGAAATAAAAATATATTATTAAAAATATTAAAATAAGATTTAAAAAATAATTAAAATAATTTTTTAATTTAAATTTAATTAAATTATTATAATTTCAACTTTAAAAAAAAACAATAAATAAATTATAAAATATAGAAAATTTTGAAAATTAAAAATTGTATTATTAAAAATTTCAAAAAAATAAATTATTAAATTATATAAAATATATATTAAAATATAAAGTTAATATAATAAATAATAAATAAATAAACCAATAATAAAAATAATATTAAACATTATAATTTACAAATAATTTAATTATAATATAATGATATTTAATAATTTATAAAAATTTATATTAATATATGTTATAAAAAAATTTTTTTAATAAATAAAAATAAATAAATATCTATCTATCTATTATAAAGATTTTCTTATTGAAATTCTTATTTTTTAAAAATATAAAATTTAAAGTTGATATTATATAATTGAACTTTTAATAAAAACTACAAAAATATTATAAAAAACATATTTAAATAAATAATTTAGTATTTTTTTAATTTGATTGTATCAAATATTTTAAATTTGGTTAAAACCGAAAACTTTTTCTAATTTATTTTACTCAAAAAGTTTTATATTTCAAATTAAAGTTTTAAGTTACAGGTCGGGCATCTGATCTCATAATTATAATATTTGTCACTTCAAAGAGATTACAACCTGTATTAACAATTTTAAATTACATAACTTTTAACAATGAGCGTTTATAAGATTTTTGAATTGCCACTTAATCATCGATAGATTAACTATAATGAGACGAAATCACAAACTTATTAAAATGCTAAAATGCAATTAACGTCTATATAAGAGAAAAAGAACCGAAACCCCTAGTATTATAATTTGGCAACTTTTTTAAACGAATTTTTATATAATTATAATTTATTTTCAATCCTAAATGTTCATATAAATGGTGATGGAATTTGTTTAGAAAATTTAATGCGACCCTGCGTAAGCTCCTCATACGGTGTCATATCTAAGGATTGAAGTTCGCGTCTAACGTATTTTACTAAACATGCTATGTTGTGCGCAGACCCTTCTGTAACCAGCACATTTCTGTGGTTTATAGAAACATTGATGAATAGATTATCTTTCAGGAAAAAAAAGAAAAAATTCATTACCTCCATAACGCTGCTGCCAACACTGGATCGTCTTTACACAATCCTTCATCATATGACATAACTCCACCATGAAATTGAGAAAGATAATCTTTCATATATTGTATAATAATTCTATTCGATGTAATCTAAAAAAGATTCAGAATATGTCACCCCTAAAATTAAATGCCAAAATGTAAAAGAGTTCTAGATGTAACTAAACATACACCATGTTTTTCTCTCATCCTCCATTCCGCATCGTCGAATAAATGATTGACTAATTGTTGCATATAAACTTTTCCATCTTGCTCAGCTCTGAACCTGACCATCAACATCCAAACATGCAGCTGCGTTATCGAAAACCACGTTTGAAAACTATCCGGTAGCCTACATTCTAGAAGTATAATAACGATTGTACTGATTGGGTATGTAGTTCACAAGCTTTTAGTGAAAAAAATTTTTTTACCTTACCGTCAATGTAAAAATCCCGATTCGCCTCCAATTGCCTTGCACACAATTGATACATTTCTCTGGTTACCCCGAGAACATGTACTGGCAGATCATGATATCCAAACAATTTAGAAATATTAAAAACAACTTTTTGAAGAAAAGGTGGTAATTTTCGCGAGGTTTTTGTACTCTTTGGAGTTTGAAAAGTGTCTATAAAGAAGGGGTTGGCTTTCTTATAAATTCTTTCATTTTCACTCTCATTTTTTTCTTTAACATCCACTACCGTTACGGTTGTTTGTATTTGATTTGGTCTTTCATGGTTATTATTAGTCTTTTTTGAGAGGAACTTAAAAGAAAGTCAGAATGCGTGTCGGGAAAGACCTAGGGCAGTATTAGAGTTTTAAACGTTGCGTATTTATTTACCCGGAGCATGTACCTATTTTGCGCTCGAGTAAGAAACGTCCTGTTTCCATTCTGAATAAGCTGAAACCTAAAAGTGCAAAGATATCTTATAGACATATTCAATACGAATTCTATTACAATTAATTATTCGATATTTATCGTTATCAGCGTCAAATTTATCGTGTTACTGATTATCTATAAATTAAGCGTGCTAGCATATTAATGACGGCTTAAATCTATACCTGATATTATATTGTTTTTTATTAAATAAAAAATAATTTTGATGTTTCATTATTAGTTAACTAGTAATTTTATTATAAAATTTTAATTTAAGATTTTTGTCTTTTAATATATAAATTTAGAGATATTTTACTATTGAATTTTTTTTTTGATGTGAAGTTACTATTGAAATTTTTAAAAAATTTGGATTTAAAATTAATTATAAAATTAAAAAAAAAATTTTTTTAATCATAAATTTTTGAATATTTCTTATAATATGTAAATTAATTTTATAAAATCTTTAAACTTTTTAAAAAATAAATTTTACTATAAAAATTTATAAATCTATAGTAAATTCTAAAAATTCAAAATTTTTTATTTGCTTTGACTTTATAAAAATTTTTTAATTAATAAAAAAATTATAAAAAAATTAGTTTTAATAAATTTAGGTATCAAAATAATTTTATTAATTTTTTTTATAATTTATAATATATAATAAAATTCTGGATATAGATAAAAAACTCTTTCTGCTAATCCTTTTGCCAACTCAAAAAACAGATGTTCTTGAAAGTTTTTTTTATTTTTTAATAATAAAGTCTAAACACTTTCTTTAATAATATATAATCCTAAGAAGAAAACTCTTTTCCTAAACACTTTCTTTAATAATATATATTCCTAAGAAGAAAACTCTTTCCCGTCTATCACCAAATTTCCTAATTAGGAAATATTTCTCAGAAACAAAAACTTATCAAGTTTTTTATCAAAACACTTCTAACTCCAAGAAACCACCACTAACAGGTATAACCTTGCAAGTACATTTATTTCATTAACTT